ATTTTTGCTCCTTATCCCGGGGAGAGAATAACAAGTCCACCTCCGGGTTGCGTGGGCGTCTTTGTGGAGAGTTTGAGGTCGGGATTAAGGTTCCCGTTGCCAAACTTGATCACGGAGTACCTCCGAAGTTGGGGGTTACCGTTGTGCCAGATTACGCCGAATAGCTGGAAAAAGATAATCGGGTTAATGGTGTTGCTGCACGAGAGGGGTGAGGGCCTTCTTTCGTGCGATGAGATGAGGAGCATCTTCGCGTTTAAACAAAGTCCGAAGAGGAGGGTGGCCGAGTCATCTTGTTGCTTCTTTGCCGGGGCGAAACCGCAACACGGTGTTAAAGTTGGAGAAATAGTGACTGAGATCCCGGAGAGTCTCCACGGTTTCCAGGAGGAAGTGTTGTGGATCGGTGGAGAGTGGCAATCAGTGGACTTCTTTCATGAGCGCCGAATTGATGGGATGACAATTCCCATGTTAATTCATTCCGGAGCCAGTGAGTTTGTTTTATCTATTTTTCAATTCGGATATGCTTTTCTGATTTTGGTGTTGTTCTGTGCACTAACAGGTCGGAACTTTTACTCTGTGTAGAAAAAGAGACTAAGCAAAAAGAACCGAAGTTGAGTCCGGAATTCGGTGGGAAGTTGATAACTTTGGCCGGTTTGGATAAAGCAGACAGGGATTATCGCAAGCTTTTAATAGACTCGAAACTTGAAGCGGCTGGTTTGTCTTTGGAAGTTACCACATCGAAGTTTGACCCCGGTAAGAGAATTTTAGTAAGGATGTTGTCGAATTTTTCATATGCGATGAATAGCGGTTTTGTATCTTAATTTGTCCTTTGTCGATATGCAGTGTATTATCCTCTCCTCGGTTTTCTGGGCTACAACTCTGTCAAGGAAGCCAAGGAGTTTAGGCGTAAATTTCCGAACAGAGACCTTCAATCCAAAGTTGGTAAGAGCCGGGATTTAAGGCTGAACGACGCCATGAGGAGGGATCTTGTTCGTGCATTGGTGAAGAAGACAGCCGGTCAAAAGAACACTGGGAAGAAGTCGACCGAGGTGGGGTCGAGTGCCACTTCGGCTGCCATGCCTGAAAGCCCGAAGTCTGTGCCAGACGTGACGACTACCGAAGTGTTGTCGGTAGTGGAGGCTGCAGCGATTAACCAAGCAGATCCGGAACCAATCATAGCAGGGACCGAAATGATTACTACCGAGGTTGCTCACACTGAGGTGCCACCAGCTTCTCCGAAGTCGCTTGAGTTGGAGCAACCAGAGAAGAGGAAGAAGAGGAAATTGGTGAAGATGGCGGACGTCGGAGCTTCGTCCGGAGTAGAGAAGAGGTCTAAGAAAAAGCACGACTCCGGTCGTAAAGCGACTGAGAAAGGTACGGATGATTCTCCTTTATTTGAGAAGTATTTTTTGTCGATAGACGAAGAGCGGGCTGCCAGAGTTAAGGTGCCTGAGGGTGTTTTGGAGGATTGGTTCACTACTTTTCTGTCCGTGAAGTCACCACATATGTCATCGAGAATCGAAATGCCAGAGAATGCAAGAGATGCTGCTCGGGTTCCGTTGATGGTTTGGGACCCCAAATCCAAAGTGGGGGTCTCCTCTTTATCCAGTGTTGACAAGCTGAGCTACGCCAAGGCATGCGTTGGCAGGGCCTTGGTTAGTTTAGTGGCAGCCGAGGATGATCATCGCCGGGTCGCGTCTCAATTGGAAGGGAAAAAAAACGTTTTAGCCGCGCGCGATATGGTGATCGTTCAGTTGAAGGAAGAATCGGCTAAAATGGAGGCCGACTTGAAGGGCCAAATTTCTGAGAAGGTTGCCGAGTTGGAGAAAGCAAAAGCTGAGACTGTGACACTGTCAGATGAGAAGAAGGCCTATGAGGCCGAAGTGGCAGATCTCAAGGCACGCCTGGCCGTGGTGGAGCAGCACTTCAAAACTTCCGAGGCCAAGCTGATGGAAACCGAGAAGGCCTTGTTGGAG